AGGCCTGGCGTGATATGGTTCATGGGGTCACAAAGAGTCGGACACGACTTAATGACTAAACAACAAAATATGTAGAAGATATTTGCCATACCATGCTTAATATTTTATCTTTGGTGATACAATTTTCAAATGGAATAATGTTTTCAGGAAACCCACCAATTTGGAGTCTCGCTTTTATGACCCTCTGTTCTGTATTGTGATTTCAACTTGCATTTCTGAGAATATTCCAGAAATCAGTTCTACTGTGCTGTTAAATTCTGCTGAGACCACTTCTTTCATAGCACAGATTCTCAGGTTGCATCTGCAGTGGTGTTTTTGAAGTCTCATCTACTGTCTTTGAAAGAGCATTAACATTGCCAGATCTGTTATTTTTACTTCTAAAGAGTTAGTAGTGTCCTACCCATCTTGTTTGAAATCTCCCTTAAAAAATTGAAAGTTGTTAATTTCTCCTACTTCCCTTGGCTTTCCTCAATCACCTGCCTTTCCAACCTTTATAGAAGGAGGTTGAATCTGAATATATGGTAAGATGTTATGTTTTATTTTTCCCCAGTAGGCTTTCCTAATCATTGGTGCATCCTTCACCTACGTTTAGCTGATGTTTAAGTATATCCACATATACAGATGTATTTTGCAGAGAAAAGGAGCTGTGCACTTTCCGGTCATCTTTGATGGTGATATTACAGGATAAAAACAGATGAGGAGGGATAAGTATGTCACCTTGAATTCCTCAAATAAAAACGGGGAACAAATGCAATAAGAGAAAACAGTTATAACAACTCTTTCTATTATCGGCAAATCCTCATGCTGACTGGGGATGATGGTAGTTACATTCTCTTACCTCTGAAGATCACTGTAGTGGGGAAAATTGGATGAAATCCACCTGCCCAAATCTTTTGCCAGCTTGGAATGTAGTTTAGGATCAGAGTATGAACATGCATGCCAGTATGCCCACAAACTTACACCTCAGCCCCACGAGGCTTCTATTATTATTTTTGGAGTCTTTGAAGGAAAAAGAAATATTAATTAGGAAGTAGGAAACAATTTGCTTTCTGACCAATTAGTCTTTCATGCCTATCCATGGGCAGTGGTTTTGGGAATAAGCAAGATTCCCCCTCCCATGAGACCTATTTTGTGAGAGTATCTTTTGTGCTCTGTAAATGTCAATGTTTTGGAATCATAAATAAAAACAAGGGGAATTTAGAAGCATCTTTATGAACAAAATCCAGACGATTCCTATGGCCACAATGAAAAAAGTCTAATTTTGTCCTCTTTTGTCTGTCCCACCCCACCCCCCACCCCCAACTGCAGGTGAGCCATCATCCTCCTATCTCTGCTTGCCATGTAGAGTCTGACAGTTTCATTTTGTGGCAAGGTAAGGGGAAGGCCATTGGTGGTTGGAAAATGGGATAAAAACAGGTGGAATTTGTTCTAATGAAAACAATATTGACTATGCTCTTTGTATCAAAAAGACCAACGTTATTTGCCAAAGTCCTAGATCTGTACAAAATCTACTATTCTTGGAATGCAGTAGTCACCGCTTTTGGTTCACAGGATTAACTTCTGAAAAAGGGACCATCCCTGAAACAGCTAGGTCCACAAATCTTGAGGAGAAATGGAGCATTCCAAAGTTCTCCAGAACCTTCCATTCTTTGAATGGTAGGTTTTGCACATTTAAAAGCCGGCATTTGAATATGAAAAGGAGTTTAAAAAAATGTTTTCTGTTATGGGCAAAGTGCATTCTTTTACCCAGTGAGTGCCAAAAGGAAACTCTTGTATCTGGCCTCAGGAGGTAACAGAATTTAGATTAGAATGAGCCACTTTGAGGTGGCCTGGAAATTTTGTTTGCTTTCAAAGAAGTTAACAGCCTAGAATAACCATCCCAAGCAGGTGTCTCCCAGATGAATTAGCTTTCTTT